TTACACTCTTTGACAATCTCTTCCAGATCCCAGAGTTAATCATATCATACTAATGAAGACAAAAATTATGACTAGTGCAGCACCTATATGTTAACTAATTAAACATAACCAGGCAAAATTTTTGTGGAATACACTAATAAGTAACTTTTTAATTTATTTTTTCAGGAAACAAAGACTTCCATGTCTTTGGAATTAAAAGAAATTTAAAATTAGAGAAAATGAATAGGAAAAGCAAAACAAAACACAATCAGTTATATTTTGACTTGATTCTTTATCTTGGATTCTGATAATTTATAAAATCTTAAATATTATTTTTTACTCTTTGTGTGGGCCACAATAAATACTTTATGTTCTTAGTCTAAGTGTGAAATAACTTTATTGAATAGGAATAAATAACTTAATGAAATTACTCTGTTAATGAAATACAAATATAGAAATGATAATCAACAGTTTCTTATGATCCTAATTACAGTATTTTTGTCATTCAATTTTATTATTCTTAAATCCATGAGTATGACTTTTCTCTACAAATGAACTGGTCATCTTACTCTAACACTGCAGGTAGTTTAATCATAAAGGGAATTAGGAAAGTATATTATGCTGCAGATCTGTTTAGATGTTATAAGATATTTAATTATTGAAAGATCAGATGAAGTGCACAGGAATAAAGGAACAAAAAATATATTCATTGCTTTTATCAATAATTTAATTTTACCTTATTTTTTGAAGAAAAATAAAAACTTTTTGTGTGTATCCTTGAAAGCTTGTTTCACTTGCTGGTTCTTTAGACTGTAAATAAAGGGATTTAATAAAGGTGCAACTGAGGTATAGATAACAGTTACACTTTTGGATAAAGTCACTCTATCTTTTGCTGATGGCTTCATGTAAACGAAGATACAGCTGCCATAAGTAAGAGAGACTACAATCATATGGGAAGAACAAGTGGAAAAAGCTTTTGTTCTTTTCTGAGCAGAGGATATTTTTAGAATAGCCTTGATTATGTATGTATAGGAAAGAATCACTAAAAGAAATGTTATCATAAGTACTAGAACTGCTAAAACAAATACAATCAATTCTAGGAAGTGAGTGTCTGTGCAAGAAATCTGGAAGATAGGAGAAGCATCACAGAGGAAATGATCAATTACTTTGGAAGCACAGAATTCCAGTTTCAGTCCCATGACCAGTGGTGGAAAGGTAATCAGAAAGCCAGCTGCCCATGAACTGATTACAAGATAAGAACACACTTTGCTGCTCATAATGGTGGAGTAATGCAGAGGTTTACAGATGGCTACGTAACGGTCATAAGACATGACAGTCAGAAAGCAAAACTCTGTAATTCCTAA